CAGTGACATGCTGAAAGATCCGAAAACCAGTTTTATGAATATAAAAATTAAAGAAATGAAGATGTCTGAGTTTTTGAGAGTTCAACAAAGAATATGGATTGAATTACACAGAAAAGAGAGAAAATGTTGAGGAAGCATTTTTTCTCTCTCATGCACCTCATTCCTTCCTCTCCGTTCAACTCGAGGAGGCACAGCCTCTAAAAAATGGGTGTTGAGGTGTGATGTGAATGGGGCTAGGAAAAAACACATTTCTGTATTGCCCGTTTTGTTCAGAGCCTATGTGTACTTGCTTTTACTGTGAAAAGTTATTGCTATGCTCTTTGGATTGTCTGCTTCTTGGCTGGGAAATTTTTATTATTCACACACACACATCAGGATATTTTTTGTTTTTGGTTGCACATTAGGGGCATCCAAAAAGTGACTTTTGAAACCGAATTGAATACAAATCGAATTATTTTCCAATGATGGTAACCACAGGAGTGACGGCACTTGTTGTAAGAGCCACTCCAGAGGCCGCTGGAACAGCTTCCTGGCTCGCTCATTCACCCCGCGGCTTCTCTTCACAGTTTTTCGCATGATTCATGGTCGCACATTGTTTGATTGAGTGACGAGATCATGCCGGAGCCCTAACTACGTTTATTTTGTATTGACAGGGATGATCCGGGTAGTTTAGGTTTTCGGTGCTCGTTTATGGCCATTCTTCACTCAGGAGCAACCAACAACTGCACTGTTGGATGCAAGTTCAACCCATCGGAGCGGGTGATGCTCCAATGAAGTCTGCAGTGGCGTGGGATATTAAACTGTGACAGCAAACAAAAAGGCTTCCATTGGCCAAAGTCTGGATAGGTGGGGTTGCCTTCCGGAGTTGGAGGTCAGGCTTGCAACGTACATCGCAAAAGTGTGCAATCGGTCCCTATCCAGGATGTCCACACGATCACCGAGCAAGCGCGGCAGATGCGGTTGATCCTGTCATTTGCGAAGTGCAAGATTTGGTTGGACGACGCCGACGACGTGCTTCGAGAAAGTGGCAGTGATGAAGACGAGACTGACAGCACCAGTGCGGACGAGTCGTAGTCTAGTCCCGGACGGAGTGAGAACGACAGAGAGCAGCTTGAGTTGTCCCGCCTGCAGTGTGAACTTTATAGTTTCGATAACGCCTGGGCATCTCATGCACCTCGCGCGTGCATGCACAGCCAAAGCACGCTAGAAGGCATCGATCGCGTGCTGGAGGCTCGGCTTTCGAAACAGATACTTTGCCGTTCTCACGTGTTTGCAGTAAAATGCGCATCTACATATTTTTATTTTTTTTTTATTTTTCGCTGTTGTGCAATGTGGGGAGGGTCGACTTATAATCGAGTCGACTTACAATCATGTAAATACAGTAAGGGTGAAAAGACTGCCAAAATGCTTTTGCCTGAGTATCCAGGTTCAAGAAAACACACCCATCTCTTCTCTTTTGGAATGCTCAGATAGGAGTGAAAAGGTCCATTCACCTGGCGGCAGACTCGCTTGGCAGATTCATTGCCATTTGCAGCCTCTTGGTTTCTTGGCTGCTTGCCAAACTTCTGCCTTTTGAGAGCAACCTCTCCGTCATCCGCAAACTTTGTGCGTTCATACTTGCACTTAAATTTTAGTGCATTGTGCCAGGAGTCCTGCATATTTTGGAACATAAAGAAATGTCGTTTGAAGTCAAGAGCAAAATAGTTTTACAAAGATATTGCTTTCCCAATCCAACTTTTGTACATGACTTGTGCAAGTTTCCCTGAGCAGGTTTCAATTTTTCCAAACCAAAAAAAAAAAAAAAAAAACGCTCATCGGTAAATATGTCTCTTCTCGTAGAGACCAGGTAAACCAAGAAAGCATGAGTACAAGGTACTTTAGACTTATGCAGATGCCAATGCACTTGTCACACAGCTGTTGAAGGAATGTTTGGGATAACCTATATTAAAATAGTGTTAACTACCAAAAGAAAGACAAAGCACGCCATTGATAAAGAGCTTGTGAGGAAAAGCGACAGCCATATTTGTGGCTGTGTATAAACTGACAGTCTAGTCTGAGCAGGAATGTCGCAAATTGCACTGTGCAATTCGTTCCAAGCAAGCACGTAGCCAGGGGGTGGTTCATGGGGCCTGCCCCCCCCCCCCCCCCCCCCGAAATCTTCCACTGTGCTGGGGCCTCCTCTCCCCCCTCTCCCTCCCCCTCATACAGCATTTTGCTGGGGCCTCCTCCTCCCTCTCCCTCCCCTACACCCCGCCCCGCCCGCCCCCGCCCCGCCCCGAACCAAAATCCTGGCTACGTGCCTGGTTCCAAGCACTGACAGACCGTACCGTGTAGCGGCAGCAGTTTAGATAAATTTAGCGCAAATGATCACACCACTGCCAGTGAGTTAGGCATATCCAGAAAGCACAAACTTACAATACCCTCCTTCGATAAGAGAGCCTATCGACAATTTTAGACTAAATAAATGTCGTCAAAAGCAAATTCCACTTTTCAAGACTGGCCACTTTACTCCACCACTGTGGTGACACGTTAGGTAACCCCCTTTCTGGAGCGTAGCTTCATTACCCACGAAGCTTTACGTCCTTGTTGCATATCAGTGAGGCACGGGAAAGGCACTGCTGGTAGCCCCGATTATTTAGTCAATTGAAAAAATGTTCCTAAAATTACTCGAGGAATGACTAATGAGTCGTTTATGAACATGCACTTTCCCACTTGCCCCCAGAAAATCTCTTGCTCATGGAAGTGACCTGCCACTCCACTCATAGAAATGACCTGCCACTATCGACAGGTTTTTTTGTTGTTTTTTTTTGTGTGTGTAAACAGTGAAGCACTTAAAGCATGCATGCTATTTGGGCAACTTTTCTCGATGCAACCTTGTCAGCTACTAACAAGCTTTTCGAACAAAAAATATTTTTCAGTTAGCTACCAAATATAAACACAGGACATGAAAGTGTGTATAAATTAACTACATACTATGATGGGATCATATTGTAAGAAATGAAGTGACAGGAAAGGCAGCACACAGCAGTTTTTTGTTGGCCCTGTGTCATATCATGTGAAAAGATGAAATGCAAACGTTGTAAAACACATTCACCAGAAGGTTTAGAAGAAATATGAATTTTTATTATAGAGAAGCCTACCTGTGTCATCTAAATAGACAAAAAAGGTGGAGGTCATTGCGTAAGACTTATGCAGTGTCCCGAAATACAGTTGTCTCCATAATTCAAAATTTGCAAGAAATACTTGAAACTAAAAGGAGAGTGAACTGATTTTCCTATATAAATTGAGCCTGCTTTCCACCTTGACTTCAAAGGCGAATAAGCGATCATGTGGTTGTGACAAACAACCCTCCTGGAATTGGAAGTACTCAGTGGTCAGCCTTTGACAATTCGCCTAAGACCCACAATGACAATGATTTAAACAATGAGAAAGAAGGCAATCCCCCATTTGCGTTAGAATTCAACAGTCTCCATAATGGCATTGATTGGCTTCCCCAGCGGCACAAGACTCCTGTCCAACTTTAAGAGCTGGATTCGACTGACGTGCAATGGACCTTTTTCGAGTACCGAGCGCTGTCTGGGGAGTTGTCTGCGAACTACAAATGAAGAGCAGCCCAACATGCTTCCGCCCGTCAAAACACGTTGGCATCGTGCTGTTGTATCGTTTTTCAGTGTTCTACCCCATGCTACCAATACTAAAAAACAAAGCGTCAAAATAGACTAAATACGCGCGAAGATGGATGTTGCTGTCGCCATTTTTGGAGGGCACCGTCCCGATGCCCTCTGAAAATGGCGACGGCGGGAATGTGCGCATGCGCGGAAGCTTACTGGAAAAAGGTCCATTCTACCTCAAAAGCATCAAGGCAAAAGGAAGTAAGCTTTGCAAAGAAGCGCAATAGTCTGCGTCTATTTTCAACAAAGAATGTGTTTGTCTCAGTAATGATTTGAAATCGAGTGTCCGACCATTGCGCCCCTTTCATTCCACCTTCCCTTCCCACCTGTGTTCGCCCCCAATTCGGGGATAAAATAAATTTCTGCCCAAACAGGAGTCAAACCTACCTCACAGTCCGCAGCCCAATGCTATAAAAAGGGCCCCTGACATTCAAAATATATCTCTTTTCTTCTGGAAAATCAGCTAAACTTTTTGGTACAGATCCAAGAAGCGTCATACTCCGCTCGAGGAGGAGACAAGGGAGAGGGAAATTAGAGAGGAGGAAAGAAAGAGGGAGAGAAGGATTAGAGCGAGAGGTGGGCGGTTGGCACTTCTAAAGACTGGCACTTCTAAAAGACTCGCAAAACCCCAACGTCCTTTTTAAGCTATCACAAGGGGCACATAGCCATCCAGCTGCCCGAAATACTGGATGCTTTGCCTGCACAGAACCAGCTAGAAGAATCCAAGCCTCTGCAGTTGAATTTCGACGTCATCACAGTCAGATGAAGCGCAGACACAGATTGTACCCAAGTGCTGTGTCAGCATTCGGCTGGCAGCCATGTCCAGTCAATGCATCAAAGGACGTTCAGAGTTGGGATCGGGGCAAATTATTGAGCCATCCGAGTTTGATGACTTTTTGTGGAGAGAGAGGAAGCCGTTCGGAAGCTTTGACTGTTCCAGGTGGTGTTGGTCCGCACCCAAAGAGCCAGAAGGAATGGAAACCTTATGGTACAGGTTATCACACTATGGTATTTAACCACAGAATGCATAAGCAACATATCAGTATCATTATAGGCAAATTCGCGACTCCAGCAAAACGGACGCCACCAAGTGGGAAAACCGGGAACCAGCCGGTCCAGGTCGCTCCGTGCCCCTCCGCGTCTCTGCAGTAGGGTGCCTTCATGAAGGCTCCCTACTCTGCAGTGGCGGCAAGCAGCAGGCCCCCCCCCCCCCCCCCCCCCCCCGGGCCTGCTGCTTGCCGTCCGGCCCGTTCCACTTTGGCCTCGCGGCGACTCGGCCCGCTGCGCCAAAAGGTTGCCGACCACTGTATTAGAGGAACAGGGGCATACTCACAGAGTGTACCTGAAAAGATCGAAACACATCCATTCCACAATGCGGCGGCGGAGATCTAACGGCACTCTGGCCTTCTGCGTGACCTGTGAAAGGTTGTGTGCTATGTCTTTGGGGGTCGGAGGAAATACATATTTCTTCGGATCCAGTGTTGGGCTAGGGCCCTCCTGGATCATAGGCACTTCCATTCTGAAAATGTGAGCAAAGTTATTATATGAATGACACACACCTATAAAAACAGGTGCATAAGCTTTAGAACTCCCAGTCCCCCAATATTGAAAACGCTTATGGCGAATTCGGGAGGTCAATCGTCGGCAACTTATTTTGCCCGAAAACCGGCAATAGTGTTTGCGTGGTCAGTTTCCGGCTGGCGCGCACTGTTCGGGTGGTGGTTCTCCGGCAAGCACCGGCAACTTTCCGGAGCTTTTTCCACCCGAGCTCCGAACGTCTGCGCGAGCAGGCGCCAGACTGCATCCGGTGTCGTCCCTTCCGAAATCGGAGAGAAGGTCTGTGAGAAAAAAATGAATAGGAGAAGGTAACTGATCTGAAGTCACTTTAGCAGCCGCTACACGAGTCAATCCAAGTCGTTGGGACATGGGTGACAGTGGCGACGGGCTCTCGCTGGCGGTGTCGCACGGGCAAGAGGTGAAGTAAACTGCCACCATCTCGCATTTCGTGTTCGGTTGCTAAGTGTCACGTGGTATGCTGCCGGCGCGTTTCTGGCTGCCGGTTCAGCCGGCTCGTTCTCGCCGGCGATTGGCCACCCGAATTCGCCATTATAAAAACAACTGCATGAGCTGTAGAACTAACACTCCTACAACACCTTATTGCTAGGTTTCCATGCTTTCGGATAAATCCAAAAAAAGCTGAAAAACACTCCTCAGTAAAATTTTTGAAGGGTCAGGACATGCCAAAAATGAAATATGAGGCAACTATACTGCTAGAATCCATTGTATGTTCCTATAATCCTGCTAAATAGTTCAATTACAATGGCGCAATAGTTTTATGGATAAATTGATATATTTACGGGACCCTCGGATCCTCCCCATTCAGAAGGTGTGCGACGTCATTAGCCAACTGCACAGCGTCTCCTTGCACGCGCTTACAGACTTGGCTCTTTCAGCGTCTCAAGATTCAGCTTCCTCGTTTACCTTCCGCATTTCAAGCATGCAAGCATGCATGTAGATTATTATGTCTACGGCATCGCTCGCTTTATTTAAGTCTTTGACACTGATCGCAGCAAAGAGATGTTGGAAGCTGTTCATTTTGACTGCGACCCACTGGCGACCAGCTCCAGTGACGGTAGTCACGAACAAACTCGCCGAGGTCACCGTCGTCTGGGACAATCTTGCAGGTGCACGCAGGAGAGAAGGTAAAAAAGCCGAAGGTGAGAGCAAAAATAGTGTTGGTGTTGCCAAGTTCTGCGAGTGGTTCTGATCATACCTCATCCGTACATTTCAGCGACTGTACGGTAACAAAACTTGCAAAGGTATGAATTGTTGATTGCTTCCTTCATGAAATAGCGAGAAAATCGCAATACAAGCTCGCGTTCGATACACTCTCACAGGACACAATTTCTAGCAGAAAGTCTAGTTGTTTATTCGGATCCTCTTCATGCAAACAGCAGCTCGTAGCAGACAAACCCCCATCGTCTGCTCTCGCACCTCGTCTGAGTAATGCATGACTGGGTTGCATCCTGGCACACATTCGATTTTCTCGGTGCAGCAAGTGCATTCACGCGTGCAGTGCCAGTGCTGGAACAAACTCGGAAAGTGCACCCGCTCGTGCAGTGCCCACTGAAACAAACCTGCTCCACACTGCGAGTGAGCATGCGTCGGCACACGTAGGCACAAGTGCCGTAAAGCAAACTCGCTATTAAAACAGTTCTAAAAAATAATCATACACTTCTGGTGAAGCGGCTACAGGAGCAGGAGGTGGGGCCGACTCTTGGGGCGCCAGCCGTGTAGCCCTCATCTTGGAGCCCGCGACCAAGGTTGTCGTACTATCCCAGTCAAGATATTCGCCGAGTTCTACATCAAGGACCTGCAAAGGTTACATTCAATTATTTTAAATTCTAAACAGAAACCTAAGACAAGATTAAAAAATTAAAAATAAAGAAGTGAATTGGTTAGGGATACTATGCTGAAAGCATACAAGTTTTTTATTTAGAAAGTGGCTATTCTGCCGGCAGCCGAGAACGATTTTTCTGTTATTCTACCGGCAGTCGCCTCCTTTTAGCTGTCTGAACGTGCGTGGGTGGGTTAACATTTTTGTATTGAGCCGCCGCAGACTGTCGCCACGAAGCAGTGTAAACGGGTGCGCTGGGTAGGTTAACAGGCGTCCCAGTGATCAATGTGCAATGAAATGTCCCTACAGCAAGCAACTCATGTAACGAGTGTCCATGAAACATGCGCCTTTTCAAATGTGCCTAGAGAATAACAACTTAAATATTGTACAGGCATTTGCTACATGGTTTCAGGCAACCAATTGGAAGCGACAGGCAGTAGATTAACGGAAAAGTTATTCTGCCTACTGCCGGCAGAATAGCCCCTGCCTTTATTTTTGCGCACTAGGAGTTGAGACTTGAAATTTTCGTTATTTTCGTTTTGGAGCGCGCCGGGATCGACTTCTATGGAACGAGCCTATTTCACTGGGAGATTGTGATCGAGACGGACATGTTCCACTGGTCAATTTGGATTAGGTCCCGCTCCAGATCTCGATCTGGATGCGAGAAAAGTCGCTTCCAACGATTTCGTCGGATTCAGCCGGAAACCAGCTGGGCCAGCCCTCGGCGCACACACGTGACTTCCTTTCTCGTGGGGCATCTCGCCTGATCTCGCCCCAGAAGAATTTCTGGGTGAGATCAGGCGAGATGCCCCTTGGTTCGACAGCTGTAATGGCTGTCGAGCCAAGGGGCATCGACAGCCATTTGTGGGTAAGCAAGCAGCCAATTTGTAATGGCTGCTTGCTTACCCCTTGGCTCGACAGCCGGTTTGTTTTGCAGGAAAAAGAAGAGAAGGTTTTGCCGCACTATGAGCATTCCGGCAATCTTTGCTAGAAGCTCCCAAGATTCCTGCAACTCGTGCGTCAAACACGTGTTAGCGCCACGATCGCAAAAATGTCTTCGAAACTACCGTAGCGGCCGCAAAAAGGGGATTCCCGGGCAGTTGAATGACGGGAAGGCATCTCCCGATCCCGAAGCAGTGGTCATATTTTACTGAGGATCCGTAGGCGTCGTGACCCCGTTCGGATCGTGCGCTCCATTCCCGGTCTGGTCAACTGATCCCGGCGCGCTCCAAAACGGCCAGTGAAATTCACCATTAAATACACATTCTAAGAAAGTTGCTACCTGATGCTTCCGGTTGTTGATATTTTTGTGGGAGCATTAGTTGTATAAGTGAATAGAGGTTTTGGTTGACTGATTGATTTTAATGTACATGTATTTGCATCAGACTAGCTACATCATGATGTGGTCCACTGGACGTTTGCCTGCTAGAGGACATGCACTTACATTAGTTGCACAGTTGTAAGCAAAAAAGGCTCAAGGTATACCTAAGCATTTCTTATGAGTTGTGAATGTGAAAGCATGAATGTTGTTCTTGCGCGCGGCATCGTGAAGTGGCCGTGCCGCGCTGACATGGCCGTCCCGCCACTCTGAAGTCTCCCCGACGGGGCTGGCCCCACCCCCAGGCGATTCCTTTTACCGGCACAATGGCGGCACGGGTACGCAGCAGCATAGGGTGGCGCCCCTTGAAACTGACGTGCGGAGGCCGCATCCCTCAGGTTTCGGCTTAATTTCGTTGCCGTTTTGCGTGGCGTTTTGTGCGGCTCCAAAGCTAGGAGGCTTCAGACCGCGGCTACTGGCAGAGGGGAATTCAGCCGCCGTTTGGCAAATGACGTCGGCTCGCTGAATGGGACAGTTGATGCTCTCGCATTAAATGGAATAAAATGACAGAAATAAACAATGCCAGTTTCCAACATGAGTAATGCTATTCGAGCGACGTCGTGCACCTTGATCGGAAATAGCCACACACACGACACAAAACTTCTTTGGTCTTGCACATAATGAATTGTCAAAATAGACTGCTACAGCTGGAGCATCGCCTTGTGATAGGGATGGACGCTTCCCACGCATGGACCCAGGATCAAATCTGGAAAACTGTGGGAATATTCTTTTTTTGTCAAACATTTGGTGATGTTAGCATCCTGTTTTACAATTATCACAGTATGTCGCTAAACTACACAATAAATAAATAAGTAAATAAATATATATCTTTTTTTTTTAATGCAACGAGTTGGTTAGGTGGGTTAATATGTTTAAACATACCATCCTAAGACTCAGATTGTTGCCGTTTCGCGGCGAACGTCTGCGCGTCGTGTGTATAGCGTACAGTCTCCGTTTCGTGCGTATAGTCACTTCCAGTCAAGGTGCACGGCGTCGTGCGTACGCGCCGAGGAACCGAGGGGGAGGAGTAGACGAGAGCGCGCGGGGGCGTCAGAACAACCAACTCTGGTTGGAATTATGAGTGGGTACACCTGAAGTTGTCTCCTCTGCACTCGCCGAACGCCCTAGAACGCAGAACGCCGGCGTTTGCTTTTTTGCATCCGAACGCGTTCGACGGGTGCAGTGGAGACAAAGGCAGCTAGCTTTAGGTCTACCCACTTATCACGTTAGAACCAGAGATTGGCGTTCTGACGTCCCCATGCGCTCTTGTTTCCATCTCTAGGTTCCCATAACATGAGTGAATGTCGTTTTAGCGAACAGCGCCATCGGAGTGAACCTACGTTTTAGCGAATTACGGAGGCGAGTGTTAGCCCCCCCCCCCCCCCCCCCCCTTTTTCGCGCGCGCGCTTTGCGGCGGGTCTGCGGCGGCTCATTACAGAAATGTTAACCAATTTGGCCCACCCACCCGTGCCTACTCTGTGACTATTCGCTAAAGTGTTTTTCTATGAAAAGTCGGCGTTCGCTAAAACGTCGTTTGACCAATTGATTGCCACCACTCTTCAGACATACCTGGATGAGGACCCTGTCCGTTCCTTCAAGTTCTGGAAACTTGATCAAAAAGGCATCTTTGATACTGTCGAAAGTGAAGTCCGGTGGAATCATAATTGGACGACAGAACTTCTCGAAGAAGCCCACACACCTAAACATTTTCACACAAAAAAGAAACAGATCGCACACCGAGTAACGTAAACGAGCCGCGAACGAGCACGCCCGAAAACCTCAAACGAAGTTGCGCGGCGTATTGTGGCCAGATGGTATGATCTGAAATAAGCCGAAAGTGAAGAAAAGTGTAGCCCAAAAATTGAAAAATAGGCAATAAGGTAAACAATTTTAAAACTAGTTATTTAGTCGTATTAATTTACTTCAAAAGTAAAAGAAATATGCTTTTGCATTTCTAAATTATTTTATTCGAGCGCTTTGCTCCCCCGGTCGCCTCACTGGTCGCCTCCACTCAACGTTGCCTCCACGACAGTGACTGTACCTCCACTGACTGCCTCGATTACCGAATCCAATCCGGAGCAGAAGGCGCTCAACAGTGGTCCTCCTTGCTCAGTGGGGTGGCTCGTTGGTGTTTCTGGCGTTGCTGACGCGCTGGGAGGCGCTGTTGTTTGTCTACTTTTTGTTACGACCCAACTAATTGTGATGCGTATTGTTCACTGCCCAAGATGCGCCTTCACAGGGACATCAATACGACGAGTGGTAAACCATATGAGGGTCCACAGCTGTGAACCTGACTTCCGCGTGATATGTGGTATAGAAAACTGTGCGGCGACGTTTCGGCGTTACAGTGCCTACCAGAAGCACGTGTACCGCACGCACAGAGCGATTGCGGGAATAACCCCGGCTCCAGGGAGGTGCGCTACAAGAAACGAACACGCTGGGGACATCGAACAAGATGCCTCGATCCCCACCGCCTCAACTTCATCGGAAGAAGCGCTCGTCGACAACGAGGGCCCCTCGGGCAGCGGTGATTTCATCAGTGATATCCGGGAGCAGCTTGTACTTTTTTATCTTAAAATCACAGAGAAGCTGAAGTTGGTCTTTACGACGGCAGACGAGATATTCACGGTGATGAGGTCTTTGGTGCACCAGATTCTTGACGGCCACAACCAGAACACTCTGAAATTTCTAATGGAGGAGAATGTGGCATCGTCCGTCATCGAAAACCTCGGTTCACGTGCAAGTGCTGCAGACATTGTTGAAAACATATTCTCCGGGCTGGGTAGCACACACTTGAGAAAAAAGTATGTTGCAGAACATTTCCCACATACCGAAGTGACCGAGGTGCCGCTTCAGGCGGGCAGCTGTAACGACTCTGTCTGCTATATCCCAGTTAAAAAGCTTCTGACAAGTTTCGTGCAAAATGAAGACATGCTGGAATGTTTAATGCAGCCTCCCGCAACACCATCAGACGTGCTTTCCGACTTCGCCGATGGTGACTTTCTCGGTCATCATCGCCAGCTCGCCCAAGATGACAGCCACACCATATTCCTGCTCTTTTATACAGACGAGCTTGAGATCACCAACCCCCTCGGCAGTGCTGCTGGACGACACAAGGTTCTAGCTGTGTACTTTTCAGTTTTGAATCTGCACCCTCGGTACCGGTCAAAGCTTGGTGCTATCCACCTTATACTTCTTGTGGAGTACTGTGTTGCCATGCGCCATGGCTTAGATAAAGTGCTCGCTCCCCTGGTGGGGGACTTGAACTTGCTTCACAAGCATGGCATGGATGCCAGGAGCTTACATTTTAACGTGGTGACAGTGGCGTTCACTGGAGACAATCTGTCTATGCATCGTCTTGCAGGGCTTCAGTGCTGCTTCAGTAATGGCCGTATCTCCCGGTTTTGCTTAGCGCGGCACAAACAACTTAGGCAGCTCCATGCGACTAGTGACTGTGTTGAAAGGACCAGCCAAATGCACAAAAGCCACCTTGAAGCTTTCGCACTCGACCCATTAGTAAATGGCCCCCTTTATGGGATCTCAAATGTCTCCCCTCTGGAGGGACTCAGCAACTTCGACGTCACTGACCAACTGCCCCCTGATGCAATGCATGACATTCTTGAGGGGGGCATTGGATGCGTCCTTCGTCATGTCCTCGGTGGATTGATTCAAGACAGAATACTGCGCAAGCAGGATCTCGACAGAGTTGCTGCTTTCAAGTATGGCTTTCATGACAGGAAGTCTGCACCCAATGCAGTCAGGGACACCTTCCTCACCGGTAAGGCAAGCCTGAGAGGTACAGCTAGCCAGAGGTTGTGCCTGTTCCGACTGCTGCCTCAGTTCTACGGAGACTCCATCCCTGAAGACAATCCACACTGGAGGGTGTATTTGGCATACCGACATGTTGTCGACATCATCCTTGCAGAGAGGATCCCCAAGGACTGCATTCCTTACCTTCAAGTGAAAGTCGAAGAGTTCCTGGAACTCTACACGGCGCAATACCCAAATGCAGTAGTGACGCCGAAGCTTCACTACTTGCTGCATTACTCGAAATACATCCAGAAGTTCGGACCACCTCGCCGCTTCTGGGGCATGCGATTCGAGGCGAAGCACTCGTACTTCAAGAGTCTCGCCTCCAAAGTAAAGAACTTTCGGAACACTTGTCTGACGCTTGCGACCCGGCACCAGCTTCTCCAGGCTTATGAGCTGTCGGGAAGTCTGTTTGACTCGCCACTTGAGACAACTGGAGCAAGGCCGATCAAGGTAGAAGAGCTGCCAGAAGAGCAGCAAGCTGCTGTTGCCAAGGTGACGCTGGAGACAGAAGTTTCTGCTGTGAAAACCGCGAGCTTTGACAATTGCCAGTATCGTCTAAGTGACGTGTTCGTTCACAAAATGCAACACGACATTCCACAGTTTCTTAAGATTGAGAAGCTTCTTGTTTTCGGTAGTTTCTTACTGCTGTTATGCTAGCGTCTTGCTACACTTCATTGTAGCGAGCACAGGTGCTCCTACATTGTTAGGGAACTTAATGAGAGTGTGGCGATAATGCCAGATCAGTTGTTTAACTTTTATGCACTTGATCTTTACCGTTGCAGAGACTTTCGTGAGGTGGTGCCCCATCACGCACTACTGGATTAGTTTTGCCAAAAACTGCACGGTCTCCGCTTGTTTGTGTAATGGCATTTATAATAACTCAACGTCCCTTTTTTTTTCGCTGTTTTTTTTTGTTTTTGTAGTGTTTTGAGTGCAATCCTGGCATTTCAGTCTTATGCAAGTATTGTCTGTGCTATGTGATTTGGCCTTTTTTTATGTTGCATGTATTTATATGTTCTGTATTAGGTTCCAAGGTTGGTTAGAACCATTTCAATGAGCTTGTGTTTCTGTTGCTGGGGTTCTGCACTAGGTTTTGTTATAGGATATTATTTCGTATCATACCAGTTGTGTCCTGTGTTTTGTGTGCGTATGGTTTGTTTGTTTAAATTACACAATTAACTGTAAGATTTTCTACTCCATGCGCCATTTTTCTTTTTTTCTGATGCAGTCTTTGTTGGGCAATGCCACCTTTGACCCTACCTGCTCATGTGTGTTCTATCTCTATGTTCCAGGCTTTCATACAAAAAGAATTTTATTGCTGATTTCAGCAACTAAAAGTTTCTTTATTATTGACTCATGTACCACATTTATTAAATAGTTGCCACCACACTGTTTATCAAAAATGCTCACACTCCTGCACAAAGAGTACATACATCCAGTCATCACAATCTGCAGAAAAAAGTAGGCTAAGGAAATGGCAGATGACATTCCTGCTGAACAATGCTAATGGACTGCAAAACTGAGCACGACATTGTGAATCAAATTTCTTGCGTGCTCTGTTGTGGCTTGGGATGGGCGATGTGGTGTGACTTGCCATCCTCCAGTATCGCATGGTGCAGCATGCCCCACACACTGTGGCAACACGCAACCGTTCCAGCCAGCGCCATGCCACACAAATAGGCATGCTAGTATAGGGTGACCCAGACACCATAACTGTGGCACTGATTACGACCCAGCTGGATTTGATATTGCCAAGAAGGTATGGCACATGAAAGGGCCGTGATCCATCGATAGGTATGGAAGCGGCAGACGCAATAAGATTGCGGTTATGCAAGCTAAATCACGGCTTCAAAAGAAGAAAGAAAAAAAAATCTTTCTAATTATGCAACACCAAATGCCAGTTCTACCATGAAGTATAAACTGCATGTAAAGGCTGAACCGCATGCAAGCGAAGTAGCAAGCTCCGAGACGAGAGTCGGCGACGGAAGATTTAAAGCTGAACAGCATGTAAGCGGTTTAGCGAGCGACGAGAGTCTGCGACAAGCGACGGTGATGTCTCACTGTCTTCCGTCCCCATCCCTCGGCAAACCTCACTCATGAGAGCCCTCACTGACCCTCATCTTCACAGGCGAGGTGAGGGTGGGTGAGTTTCTGAACCAGAAAAATTCATGAGTGTGAGGGCCGTGAGGGTGGTGAGGGCCATGAGTGTGTGAGGTTCAGTGAAGGGCTGAAGGCGAGTGCAACTGTGAGGAAAAGGGTGAGTGAGGGGCTGAAGGTGAGTGTAGCTGTGAGGGTGAGTGAGGGGCTTAGGTAAGTGTGGCTGTGAGGGTCAGGGAGGGCGACCTAAAATGCCGACCTCTGCCCGTCGTGTTGCTCGGATTTTGGATTTCTAAAAAACGTACCTCACCGTCTTGGTTGATTACTCCTCTTGGTCGCTTGCTGCCGTTGCTTCCATGCGGTTTGTATCATTGCGCGACTGACCGAGCGACAGCGAAGCGGGTTGCCGTCGCTTGTCTCGTTGCTCGCTGAATTGCTCGCATTAAGCAATTTGACGAGCGATGAGACAAATGATGGCAAGCCGCCTCACTGTTGCTTGGTCAGTTGTGTGACAATGCAAACCGCATTAAAGCAACGGCAGCAAGCGACCAAGGCGATGAGCGACGTTTTCTAGAAATCCAAAAACCAAGTGACGCAACAAGCGACAGTGAAAAATTTCAGTCGCTTGTCGATGACGTCGTTGATTGGGCCGTCTCTCGTCTCTTCGCTTGCCAAATCGCATACATGCGGTTCAGCCTTTAAAGCCCAACTGCATGCAAAGTGATTTAGCAAGTGACGAAACGAGCGACGGAGATTTCTTTGCTGCCTGTCGCGTTGCTCGGTGTTGGTATTTTTTGAACCGGTGTGAGTAGAGTTTCCTCCAGACGGAACAATAGTCGCCACTATCGTTCGCGGAGAGCTCGTGCCATTTGGATCACCCTTTTCGGAAGGCGCAACTATCACTGGGGAGCGCGTTAACTCACAACCCCGCCTGCGTTCACGCCGCTTTGCGGCGACAGTCTGCGACTGTTAATTACAAACCTATAAACCCACTTGGCCCACCGAACACGCCGCCCATACCATTTAGTTCAACAAAATTTCATCAACATGTGTTTTTCTTTTTTTCCAGTGATAATTGTAAAAAAAATGTAAATATTGGCAAATGTTCAAGAAAAAAAAAGACAGGTCTACAGTGCGGTTTGAACCCGGGCCCGCTGCGTGCAGAGGAGACACAGCTCCACTATGCTATGCCACCGCTTCGAAACCGTTTTGATCATTTGTTTTATGCGAGACCCAACATGGACAGAACTTTGGTGGCGGCTATCATTCCGTTTGGACGGAACTCTAGACACTTCTTTCTAGGAAATGTCGCTCATCGTCTTGGTCGCTTGCTCCCGTCGCTTTCATGCGGTTTGCCTTGTCGCGCGACTAGCTGAGCGACAGCTAAGCTGGCTCTCGGGTAACTACCTGTTCGAACCGATTTTAGTTCTGTGTTTCGTAAATGTTGCCGAGTGCACATCTCGCACGATCATCTTGATTCAATTTGCCAGAGACGTAACATTCCGCTTACTTACAGAGATATTGAAAATGAAAACGCAGTGGCGTACTAACTTGTTCTTGAGTGGAGGGGGAAACCAGACTCACCTCTCCCGCCTCCCCTTCCCCCGGAGGGCGGTGCCCTTGGTATCCCTTGGGCGCCCGCGCCGCCGGCCGGTGTTTGCCCTGCCCAGTGACGGCTGTTTCAGGGGGGGGGGGGGGGGGTGGAGGGAGGGGAGGGGGGCAAGACTTATGCCTTGCCTCCCCATTGTAAACATAGAAATAAAACAGCGCAAACAAACACAAGGACAAGTAGGAGGAGGGACACAGACACAGCGCTCCTTCTACTTGTCCTTGTGTTTGTTTGCGCTGTTTTATTTCTATGTTTACAATGCATCACCGACTAGCCCACCTCTAAACATTACTTGCCTCCCCACTCTGAGAACTGGGGGGGAGGGGGGGGGGGGGCAAGCCCCCTTGCCCCCACGGTTTTTGGTACGCCAATGTGCAAACGTTATCAACCAGTTTATTTCAAATTAAGCCAAGCCGCAGCTGCCTGGTCAAGCGCGCTTTTCTGCTGGGTACGGACTACGGAGGCTACGAGTACGAGTTCGTAGCCAAATCCGATCACGGAGCTTCCGTCAATCGTCCAGTGGAAACTGCACCTTTTATCAATGTTATCGCGGGAAGCGATCCATGACCTACTGATGCGCACGGCGACAACTTGGGCGATTATTTGAAGAGTCGTTCGTCCGTCGGCGTTGAAGTGCGCGAAGAGGCTTAGCGTTGAGCAGATCGCAGCGTTCGCGCACATCACCAGCTGTTAACATTTTCACTGTGCACTCCTTCAGCTGCATGGCGATCTGACACGACTGCGGAGGGTCCGGGAAATAATTGCCGAGCTGAACACCATGTAATTTTACGTAACACTGAACTTTACGAACACCACGTCGCCGATGCTGCACGCAGTCAAGGCAGCGCGGAGGCGCTGGAACTGGTGTTGTCGCTGGTTCCGAGATCTCTCGAGAGCTTTCCGCCACAGTGCTTCCCGCAAAGCCCGTAGCGCAAATTCCCCACGTCGACAGTGTCGTATCGCACCAAGTGCAGAATGGCCAGGCACAATTTTCTAAAGCGGCGGTGGAATGGTGTCCGGCAACGCGTAAGCGTCACCGAGCGGTGAGCAATATTGAAGTAGCCGCGGAAAATACATCTTATCCGGGTTGCATCACTCAGAGTCGAAAACAAACGTAGTTCATAATTTAATAGCAATCCTCGCACCGGTAAACGCTCGAACACGTTGCAGAACATCATTTCATCACCGCGCACGTCATCAATGCTCACTTGCGAATAGCAGTAATCACGGAGATGGAGGAAATTTTCTCCCCTTTCCCATTTCCGGTAGAGGGCGCGCCAGCTAAATTCAGCAAAAGGGAGGAACAGCATCAATTTCCTCCCCCTTCACGGGTCACAGGGAGGAAAAACGAAAGTTCCTCCCTTTTCCTCCCCTTTTTTCTTAGAGTGTATAAAAAAAAAAAAATCTTGTGCCATACGAAAGCCAATTATACCAATTATTTTCAGGTTGGCATAATAGTGAGCATAGATAGTTGTGCGACTGGGGGAGGGAACCCTCTGGTGCGGCCTTGGCATGGTAATTGAGCTTGTATTTAGTATATAACAAGTCGGTGATAATACGTCAAGGTATGGACACTAATGAGCAAACTATTAGTCCTAATAAGTGCTTGCCGACTCTAGAGATTGACTTCACTTGTCAACGCCTTCACGCTGCAGCTTCCCTGTAGTGTTTAGAGTGGCAGTAATAAGCGAACGAGGCATCACGCAGATTGGTGCTAATGGTCTTCATAGACTCTGCCAGCTATCGTCTACAAACTTGGCTTTGGAAGTTGGTTGCCCCGGATTGCAGCTTCCCTGTAGTGTTTCTACAAGCACCAATGAGAAAATGGTGAGATTGCTTGAGATCTCCCTAAAGTTGGCTTCACCTGCTTTATGAAGTAACCCTTCCCCCGGATTTTGTCTTTCCTGCAATGTATCCCATGGCCCGAATGAGAAAATGTCTTTTTAACCAC